AGAAAATCTTTTTAAAAAGTTTCAAAGTGACAACATGTCAAGGAATGGAAGAGTTATTATGTCATGCCATCCATGATGGCATGGGCACAATCTCTAGGCAGCAGTGTCACAATAAAAGTAGGCACACCCCGTTGCAGTAGTGCTGGTGGTCTTTCTAAAGAAGAGGAGAAGATTTTTGATTTCCAGTAGTATTTTATGTTCTAGGGGATAAAAACATCAATTTATTTTATTTTATTTTATTTTTGCTTCTGATAGAAGTGTAGCAGAAAACAAGCAAAGTGTGTATTCTGGACAATGAGAGGAAGAAAGAAATGCTTTACTGTTTTCTTAAAAGGATTTGTGTTCCATTGCACATTCCCTCTGGATGTGTCTCTACAACATTAGTAGATGCCATGATGAAGTTAAAGCAGAATCAGAATCTAATGGGAAATGTTGGCTGGTTGATGGTCTCAAATGGATACTGTATGTCAGTAGGATAACTTTCATGTTCATTTGAATCAAGCAAAGGCACGGATTCAACAGTGCTTATGTTGCTATCTTTCTTCCATGGATCAGTCCCATGTTTCTGCAGGGATATTAACTTGGGGGAAATTACAGGAACAGGTCTATCAATGTGTCTACTACTCACATCAGGGCTGAGTGGGTGGTGATGCTGCTGTGGGAAGTAACTGCTTTGAGAGATCCATCAATGTAGTCACCTTCATTTTAAGATTACTGCAACAGAATGAGATCCGGTGGACCTGCTGTAGAGCAACAATCGTGTTGTCAATGAAAACCTATGGTAATGATCTTTTGAGTGGTCTCAATGTATGTGCAATTTCTTCTTACCTATGTGGATTTGTAGCCTAAGTGTATGAAGAGATCCATTCATACACTTAAGGCTACAAATCCACATAGGTATATAGGTACACTTAGGGCTATAAATCCACATATTTCAATGAGGATTAGTGGAATTAGTGGAATTCAAAGATATAGCTGTGTTGGAAATCAGTATTGAAAAGGATCTTGTAACACCTTTGAGACTAGTTGAGGATTAGTGTTGCAGTGGCTGAAACTGAAGTTATGTCATGACTGAATCGTGACACGCTTTCCCTACTTTTTAGTTGTTTTGGCTTCATGGAAGAAATGGCTCATCGTGACAGTTACTCTGATTCTTATTGGGATTGCCATTGGAGCTTTCTGGTGGTTCTGTTCCAAGAAGGCAAAAGGTAAACCATTTTCTTTAATTTCCCCTTGTTTGGTGAAATCTTCTGATTATTGGGATGATCTTTCTACTTCCCGTATGAACATTCAGCTTCAAGAATTCCCATAGGTTATCTTACTCTTTTCCTCCCCTCCCCCATTTCTCTCAAATCTTCTGACTTTTATTTTCTGGTAACTGTGGTGCAGCTTCTGCATTGGCACTTTTTGTTAACTATGGTTAGCTCAAAACTAAAATTTACAATCCCAAATCTGGCTATGGTTGCTAACAGTGAAAATCCTAATAGAGACATATATCTGTAATATGACTTAGGTCCAAAACACACTGCAGAAATTATCCTGCTTGAGACCACCTTAACTTCCCTGGCTCAGTGCTAAGGAATTCTGGGAACTGTAGTCTTGGAAGACATTTGGCTGCCTCTGTCAGAGAGCTCTGGTGCCAATAAACTATAATTCAGAGGATTCCCTAGAACTGAGCCAAGACATTTAAAGTGGTCCCAAACTGGAATATTTCTGCAGTGTGTTTTGGACCTTAGTAACTCCAGTAGTTTAAGGGGAGGATCAGTGTCCAAGAAGAAAGGGGAATGAATGCATGAACCTGTTGAGTGTGCTCAGGTTCCTAACCATGTTTGAGAAATCAGGCAATGTTATGTTTGTCTTGGGTTAATGGTATAATTTTATGCAAGTGGCATATCTATTTATACAGACATCTGGTGCTCCAAATATTTCACGTGGCCTACCTGCTACAGGCATTGAGTTGCACTGTTAGGGCAAAAAAAAAAGTATATCTGAGAATAATGGCTGGAATTTAAGAGTGTGGTTCTGTAAGCATAGGTAATATAATGCTAGTTATTTTTCCAGCATGGTGTAGTGGTTTGAGCATTGGACTATGACTCTGGAGACCAGGGTTCGAATCTTGCTGGGTGATCGTAGGCAAGACTCACTCTCTCAGCCTCAGAGGGTGGCAGTGGCAATAGCAAACCCCCTATGAAGAAACTTGGCAAAAGCCTATGCTGTGAGTTGCCTTGGATTCCATATCAGGAAAATGGATGGCTATAAAATGAATAACATAAGTCCAGTTCTAGGCTACATGCAAGAGGGAACACAAGACAAGTCTCTACTTAATGCAATTATTGTGTTTCACATGGCTGAATGTGCTGTGCTTTTGCATCTGTGCACCAACCACTTGAGCACTGCTGGTAAGCAGTGAGACCTGCTAGCACACTGACTTTCTCCAACAGTAGTAGTATGCTTGATCTATGTCAATAGAGGTATTGAGGAACGTAAGTCAAACACCTGAATAGGGATTGTTAACCAGGAAATGTTCTTGCACAGTTGTCTTTCTACGTCTGCTGTATACTTCAGTAACTTATTTTTATTTTTATTTTTATTAAGCTAAAGGCAATTCTTTGGAGCTGGCTAGGTAGGTTGGTTTCTTATTCATAACTGTAAGACCTTTTAAACAAATATGATGAGATATGCCTGTATGTGTTATTTATCTTCGCAATTAGATGTCTGCTATTAGAATTGGACCATACCTCAATTTCTTCTTTCTTGACTTTTTTAATGTTTGCAATACACACACACAAACACACACACACATATTGCAAACATTAAAAAAGTCAAGGAAGAAGAAATTGAGGTATGGTTCAGTTCTAACAGCAGACATCTAAGGAATGCCTTCAGCACACATTAGACCTTTGTTGCAAGGTACAATTTGAGTTGGTTTAAACCCTTTTAATGAACAAAACGTGCTGGAGAATGACTTCATTTTAAGGATCCAAGTAAATGAATTGTTTTGTTTCCAAGTACTTTGTTTCTGCATTCATTTTGTTTTTATTGTGTTTTGTAAGCCTATTTAGATAAATATAAAATAATCAGATAAATATAAATATAAATATATTTATTTATAACAACAGCACAGTTTATAATAAGAACCTCCAAGATGATTTTCCTTGTCTTTATATTTCAAAAAAGTTTAGCCACTTGGATTCAGCCAAGCTATATTATACTTGCAAAAGATCTGAGAGAAGGCAAGTTTGTAAGTCTGATTGCAGTACACAACATTAGAAGGCAGCATGGCATTGCAGTATGAGTTTTTTGTGAAAGCAGGGTTTAAATTAAGGTTACTGCTTTGTGACCTTGGACAAATCACATTTTGTTGTATCTGTATGGCAGAAATAATCCAGGTTGACACTACTTTAATTGCCATGGCTCAATGCTATAGATGCTATAGAATTCTGGGAATTGTACGCCTTATTCCCACTATGATTTAAAGCGGATTGCTGATCGGGTTATATGAACATCGTTCCCACTTGAATCCGATTCTGATCCTACAGTGCTTGGTTTCAATCACGATGAAGTGAGGCAAACGCAAAAAAACCCACTGTTTCCCGATACTAGTTTTTTGGTGGCTCTTTTGAAAAGAATCGATTCTGAAGTGTGTTTAACAAGTGGGAACGACAGATCTGAATCAAATCATACTGGAGGGGAAGGACTAATGGCATAGGGATGTTTATGATCCCTCCTCAGTTTCTGGGAAATCAGTCATTCCCCCCCCCCCCCCCCAGCACTGCCTTTGTGCTTGTGGTGTGACCTATGGTCACATTATTATATATTTAAAAAATTGACAGAATATGCAATCCATTGTATTTGCAACTACTTGCAATTATGGGCAGACTGCAGCTCAGCAAGGCAAGTAGTTGCAAAACCAATTGATCACATATTCTGTCAATTTTTTAAAAAAATAATTATATATATATAGTTCCCAAGCCGGGCTGCTCAAAGGTGAAATGGTGTGCTTGAGCAGCCTGGGTTGCTGAGGGGCAGAGGAAGGCTCAGTTGCTAAAGTTGCCCCACTCAGCGCCTGGAATGGCCTGTCCTCACCGTGTTGCCATTTGCATATGATTGACATGCATTTTGAAGTGGCGCAAACTAGTGGGAATGACAATAGTGCCAAAAAAGAAGCAATTAAAAAGGAATAATGAAAAGATCTGCTTTCATAGGGGGAACAATGGACCTTTTGGAATTGATTCACCGACACGGAGTGAAGGCAAATCACAAACCGGTTTAAATGTAAGTGGGAATGAGTCCCTAGTTTTGTGAGACATTTAGCCTTCTCTGTCAGAGAGCTCTGGTGTCACAACATACTACATTTCCCAGAATTCTATAGCATTGAGCCAGGGCAGTTAAAGTAGTGTTAACCTGGATTATTTTTGCAATGCAGATGCAACCTCAGTCTTAGAGGAAGGCAATGGCAAGCCTCTGAATAAATCTTGCCAAGAAAATCCCATTATATGTTCATCTGAGGATCACCATTAGTCAGAGTTGACTTGAAAGTACATAACAAAGCTTTAGCTTTAGAAGTATCTGTGAACACTCAATAATCCTTTTGAATGCATGTCTTCAGTGACATATCAGATATGAATTTGAATTGCTGATGTATCAGTGCTTCCTTCTAAATCTTGTATTTATCCTTTTTTTTTAGTTCCATGCCAGCAACCAATTCAATGGGTGAGAAGCTGACATTAGGACAGAATAATGAAAGAGAATTCTTTTATGGTAGTTTATTATTAATTACTTTCTATTCTTATGTCTATGTCCACAGATATATCATCTCCATCCCTGAATCAAGTTATTATCTAGACCCAATAAATGAATTTTTAAAATTGAGGGTAGTGTGGTACAATGATTTGAGTGTTGCATTAGAACTCTGGGAGAATAGGGTTTGAATCCTTGCTTGGCCAAGAAAACCATTGGGCAAGTCACATTTTCTCAACTCCCTCTGAACAAACCTTGGCAAGAAAACAATGTGATAGGGTTACCTAAGGGTTGCCATAAGTCAGAAGCAACTTGAAGGCACACAACAACAAGTCTTCTGCTTCCCCATCCCTAGTTAGAGATGGGCAAATCCTGGGATTTTGCAACAGAGCTGTGTCACGTCCACTCTGCCTGCAACAATCTTATTAACATTTAAGCGGAGACGTTTAAGTAGCAATTGAGGTGGGACATTTCCAACATGTTTACATTCTTCTCTCAGCTCTGTGCATGTATCTATGCATAATGGCAAAACTTTGTAACTCATCCACGTAAAACTACAAAGTCTATGTATCCAGTCTATGCATGATTGCATACTCTATCTAGACCTGTTGGGAAAACTTTGTCAGCACACATAGATTCAATACATATGAATGATGTTTCTGTCTGTGTGTCATTTTAACACGTTAAGACAGGATGTAGTAGTTCTCCATGAGTTCTGTAATATATATTATGAGTTCTTGGAATTCTGTTTAGGCCTGCATTTTTGTGGTTATTTGCCTTGGTTTATTTGTTATCTCCAGGGGCTGTTAGTATTAACACTTTGAAATATTATATACTGTTTCTATGATTTACTTGAGATTTGTTTATTCATTATGATCTTGTTTGGTATGAGTCCTTGTGTCAGAGACCCTTCTCCTTTGCATTGCTTAGTATTGATAGCAGACCAGAGTAAGCTAGTTACAGTTACCTTAGAGAAAGGGGGGGGGGGTCGATCTGTCATGTAACTCTGGAAATGTGGAGGACAACCGCACGGCTGATTTATGATTAATAATGATAAAAAAATATTGTGTTTTGAGAGGAAAAGTAGCTATTTTAGAAGTGACTGTTACTCCTTCTGTTATCTCATCCTGTTTCCATTGTTTTGATTTATTTTATTTTTATTTGTGGAACCAGGTTATAATGAAGATGATGAAAAAAATCACATCAACTCAAAAGAAGAGAATAAAGGTGATATTTAATATATTAATTTCTATCTCTCCCTTTCAAGAGATTATATTCTTTGGGGTATTAAAACAGAGAATTTATTTTCTTCAGCTTAGAATGATTCAATTCTGCTTGTATGGTTCACAAAGATGAATACCAAAATGTTAAGTGCATGATACCACTTGGATTTTAAAATAGTGGTCTATAGTCTGCAGAGTACATGAAAGGGTCTCTTTTGTCATTTATGCTTTTCAACATTTACATGAAGGCACTGGATAAAGTTATCCAAAGGGCTGAGCTAAGGTTCTGTGGGTAGACTGATATCACACATTACCTCCTAGAAAGCTTGTTGAACCAATGTCTAGAAGGTTTTGGGGTTTTAGTGTTTGTTTGCTTGTTGTTTTGTTTTGGTTTTTTTAGGGTTTTTTAGGGTGTGTGAGGATGACCAAGGATTCACATAAAACAAACAAGTCAGCAGAGCAGAATTGGGACATTGATCTAGTGCAAGTTGGGGTTGCAGTTCCACTAAAATACAAATTTTACACCTTGATGTCCTTCTGGACTTGGGTCTATGAAAGTAGGGTTGCAGTAACCAGGAATGCTTTTTTCAAGTGAGGTTGCTGTGCCAGACATAATTCTCTCTGAATGTGACAAATCTTACTTCTGTTGCTCATGTTTTGATCACATCCAGAGCGATGCCTTGTGAGGGCAGAAGGTGAGACAAGAGAGTAGGAGGGAAGAGCCAGGTAGCAAGTAGTGACAGGTAACCAGCAAAGAAGACAAGTGTTTTAGGATCAGAAGGTGAGGTGAGTAGGAAGGATCTAATGAGAATACCACTGCAAGTGCCATGTTTGACAAAATGTTCATATTAATATTATTATTTTATTTGCATGACACTAAGAATGTGCCTAATGTGGATAATTAGAGTGAAAATTATAATATTGTACATAATTTTGAACAATTTGCATAATATGCACATTAGATGCCCAAATTTGAGGAAGTGGAATATGACAAACCAAAAATAAGTCATAAGGTTTCACACACTCAGAATTCATTAGTATGGCTTCCTTTAACTTGCTGTGGAAAATGTATTTGAATGGTGGGGATCTAACTTTAATAATAAATAAAATGTAATAACAATTGTGTATTTGAGATTGCTTCCTCTTGTATCAGAATCCTAAA